CCTGTCTCCCCAGCCTCCCGCCACGGTCCTTTAACTCAGGGCGTGTCCGCGCTGGGCCGCTGGCTGGGGCCAACCGGCCCGACCCAACCTGCCCCGCTCCTCCAAAGCCCCGTGGGACTGCTTTCGGGAACCTTAACTTCGCGTTCCCTCGCGCTCGCAGCTCCATTGAGCGCGCGCCCACTCTGGAAACGTGGCTCTTCTTTGCAAAAAAAAGCCCTTGTTCCCGCTTCGTGGCACTCGACCTAGTTTTCTCCCCCTTCTCCGACTCCTCCCGGCAAACTCGCCTGCACTCGGCCTTGCACCCGTTCTGCATCGCCTCTGCCTCTTGCGTGTTGTGCATTTGTGCACATTCATACTTGGTTTTGGAGCTGTCTGCTAGGCCTTTTAAAGAAAGGAAGTTGGGGAGAGGAATTCGCTCCCGGGACCCGGCGACGACTTGTTTGGCTGCTTTTAGAACGCCAGGAGTAGGCTGGAATGCGGCGTTTGGAAGCCTCGCCCAGCTTATCCTGCTTTGACAGCATTGTTTACTTTGCGGACGAGGCCCCACGGGCGGGGGGAGTCCCGGGCTGGAGGACAGAGTGATGATAAAGTAACGCTCGAGTGATAGCCGAGGGAAAGGAGGTGGGGGTGGTGGGGCGCTGGCAGCCGTCAGGGGGTAGGGTTTGGAGATAGAATGAAGAGGCCGTGATTAAGGGGGCGCCCTGGTCCGTGGGATGGCTTGATTTTGAGGAAGGGACAGCGCAGGGGGAGGTTCCCCGGCATTGCTTTTCAAAGATACGACCAGGAACTGTTTACGAGGAAGAACACTGGGGTAGAGGTGAAGCCTGGAATTGGTCAGGGGAAAAGGGAGCTCAAAGGTTGTGCGTCCCCTGACTGGGCTGCTCTCCAAAGGGAGGAGACTGGAAAGAGATCTTGAGGGACCTCACTGAAGGGGACGGTGCTTCATTTTTATGCATTTTTAACTTCGGAACGTTGCCTTCTTTTGGTGATGGGGTGCCTTGTCTCTAGAGGGTTGGGACTGTGCTGGCAGCCCCTGCGGCCTCCAGGATTGCTGGATCGCTCCCGGAGGCTGGGCTCACCAGTGGTGCTACACCCAAGCCCGCTCAGTTAGGCCTTGGCGATCCTTGAATTCGTTGCACAATAGAAGGGACCTTAGAGTAAGAAGACATCCTTGCCAACAAGGGATAAAAATCTGGGAGAGAGTTCTGCAGAGGAATCTAGCCAGGC